TTTATTTATTTATAAACTACTATTCCCACAATCCAATTCGCTCTTCAAAATGAAAATAACAAATATGAGGTTTGACCTGGGCGCGACTTGCACTGATTACCGCCGGTGACTCCTTCGATACCTTTCAATCACATATAAATTACCTAATTAAAGCTTGGAAACGTCTCAGTTTGTACTCGTCGATCTGCGCAACAGTCAAGGTCGCCATCTTTGTTTATATGAGACCCATATATCTCGCGCATGCGTGGCGCGACGACTACCGCCCTTTAAACAGTACTGACTGCTACAATTTATTCTTGTCCAGGGGCGGAGCTACGTCACAGAACGTTCTATGTTGCTAAGACGCGCGTCACTCTACCATGTATTCTATGGGTTCTGCGCGAGCTGCTGTGGAACGCCAGTCGAAGAGCCGGTGAAAACAGCTAAAGTCAAGGAAACAGCACAAACTCAACTTTGAAGTAATCCTCAGCACCCAAATTTATATATGTTCTATATGTAGGGGTAATCTTGTTACACTGTTCAGGGGAGTCTGAACAACTACTCCAAAGTACTGTTTTCTGAGAGTTATCGGCCTTTGGTTGCGAGGTGGTGAAAATACCCGGATGTCCGCCCAAGGATAAGAATTTTCCAGGTGTGACGCCATCGCTGATTGGTTAACTCGTGCTGTCAATTACTTACACTTACAATCACACGAGATATTGCTGCCGCTCGTGCATATATGGAGTGAATTGTGCAATATCTCGTGGTATATTGCTATTATATTATACCAACTTCATTTCTGTAGCATTTTCGACACTCTCGGCCTTTTATAAAATAAGAAAGAGTCGTTTTCGTACGACGTGCAATGAGCATCGGCTGGTCGACACGGTGATCAGATGAAATGGGCCCTGGAACCAGTATTTAATCTCTTATCACACACTCGCGCTCAGTACACCGAAACGCACAGAAGAGCAAGTTTAGATATCCTCACAATCAAAGGAAGTTGGTCTACTAAAGGTGCAGTTATGGAACAAGGCAGATGCTGCATGTGTACTTTAATTGCGGGTACTAGAAATAGAAGCGGCCCGGGTGCCAGATTCTGCGGGAGTTGGTCCAGACGCTACTATGCCGGTGTTTTCCGGGGTACGGATGCCGTTGTCGGAAACATCAGCTTCGATCGCTACGTTCACTTCTCTGTCAGTGGATTTGTTTTTATACCAAAAACTGCGAGAAAGGATACTGGACATTCCTTGACTCTGATTAATTCTAAGTTTGTTGGTGTAAGACCGAAACACTAGCTTCATTTTATGTGCCGTGAAATACATAATGTGTCTGGTTTCAACTCCTGCCGAATCTAACACAGTGCACGCAGTTGCCCTAGCATAATGATGTGTATGAATTGTCAACAAATTTGCTGCTATCGAAATCTCTTTCATCATAGATCCCAATTTATTTTCACGAATACCAGACTGTGTCAGTGGGTGTTACATTTACACGGGGCCCTTGAAACAACGCATTTTGCAATTTGGAGAAATACATTTTGAAATGCTGCAACGGGACAATTTTCGCCGCCGGTAGCATACATTTTAGCCTGTGTTTCGAAATCGTCAAGGTAAATTTCCGTCTGGACGATTTCTCCGGTTTCTGCAAGAAAATTTTGCTCTGACAGCTCCCGAACATGATACTCGGCCGTGTCTATGTTGCAGACAACGAAAACATGTCGCAAAGAATAGCATGCAAAAATTGTAGGTTGTACAATTATTTAATTTAACCACTGCCAAAATAAAATATGTATATAATATTTTCATGCTATCAATATTACCCCAAAACTTCTCTAATATTTAAATGCCCTTCCTTTTATTTGTTTACGAATTGAACTTGTATTCATATTCTGGGTCTTATTTGGAACACCATACATGTAACTGTGCATTATGCTTTATTATATTATACCAGTATATTGATGGTGTTAATCCATTGATTTGATTGGTCCAAACACAAAATTTGCATATGCAATCCATGGTATATTGGCTGATAATGCACGGCTAAACCAAGTGGCCCTGGAACATGAATTGACTACAGGTTTAATACGGAAATACATAAAACCGGTATTATTTGATTTTTAGGGAAATATAGTGGTTGAATTTTGGAAGAATATTAAAAAAAATACTGAATTAAAAACATCTGAAAAGTTATATAACTATAATATTGCTTTTTGTTAATGGTGGGATCCAAGTTGTGAGCGTCGGTCGTTGGGTGATTGTTACCCCAGACCATTCGTCCCGGTGTTATCGCTATCGCCACACGAGACTCCAGCTTGTCTCCTATACAATTTTCCTTCCGCCCACTTAATTTTAATATTCATATGACCTTTGCACTGACATCGATAGCCAATCGCATTCGACCGCGGACGTCACTCTAAATAAACAACTGAATAAATTAATATACCATATTTGGAAGATAGCGGGTAAATTCAACGTTGTTGGTGTGTTCCTTCGGTTCCGAAGTCGCACGAAACGAGTTCATGTTCCGTTATCTTTCGCAAGTAAAACAGGTCGATATGTATTAAACATGGCATTTGTTTTCTTGTTTTAACCCCCTTATTACGCAAGCTTCCGTCGAAGTGGTGTTTTTTTCGACGATTTGTGGCATGTTGCAAAACGAACGAAACATTGCGGCATTCTTAGCGGTGGATAGGGATCGACTATGTCGTCACATTTATGTCTCGTTTGAAAGAGAATAACAACCGC